TCGGGGCGCAGGCGCGCTGCTGGGGCCGGGCCGGCCGGTTCCGCCGGACTGCGGAGTCGGGAGGGGACTGCAATCAAGGGTTTTAATTGTGCAGATGAGCCAGGCCGTCCTGTTATGTAAGAGGCAGTTTAACCAGCGGGCTCCCATCCGGCGGAGGGAGCGGAAGGATCGGCGCCCCGGGTCCAGGCTGGGCACGTCCCCGGCCGGAGGAGTCACAAGACTGTTAACCAGCTCGGCCCCGGCTGGCATTTCCGCGGCGCGGAGCTGCAGCTGGGCCCTCCACGCTGCGGTCCCTTCTCCCCGCCCGGGTCCTGCCCAAAGCAGGAAGGGGGTGTTAGCATGAGGACTCCCAGCACCCTGTCTTTCCTTCCTTTTTTTTTTTTTTTTTTTTTTTCTTCCTCCTAAACTCAGTTTCTGATTCAATACCCTTTAGCTATTCCGGGCCATTTACAAATCAATAAGAGAACTGGGGCGGGAGTCCTAGCTCTTACGCCAATCAATCTCGTTCACGGAAGGAGTTCGGGCAGCAGAACGGCGAGTGAAAGAGAAAGGAGTAATTGCAAATAAACTAGCCCTCCCTCTGCTGAGGTCCTCCTCCACCCTTCCGCCTCCGCGGCGTTCTGAGAGTCTAAGCCTCGACCCAGTGCTTCTTCCCCGGGACCAGATGAATAAAGCAGAGCCGTGCACAGTCGGCCTGGTTTCCGCGAGGCCGGGCGTCCGGGGCCGAGCACAGCGCGCAGGGCTCTGCAGGGCTCAGCAGCCGGCTTCTCCCCAGCCCAGCTCTTCGCGAGGCGGGCAGCGCGTCGTGTTGCTCGGTGGCAGAGGCACTTCGTGATTTTTATCGCCATGCTTGAGGACATGTGGGGACAGGATAAGATTCAGATCACCTGTGATCCAAGAGCCCCTAACAGCACCCCCTCCTTGCTCGGCTAAACCCCCAGGCTGAGCAGTGAGCCGAGCTGCTGGCAGCAGGCTGCAGGAGTCACTGCTGCGGCGAGGACTGAGGCGCAATCCTCCAAACCGCTCGGAAAGGGAAAGTGCGATATAGTATTCAGCCTCGTTCTGAAACATCAATAAAATGTTAGTCATTTGCGGATGAATGAAAACAGTTTCTTTACCGTCTGGTGTGCAAGGGAAATAATTGTCAAATGACAGACTCTCGCCAATATTGATGCCAGATACCTAGGTAACACTGTCATCTTGTTAACTGCATATCCCGTTCTCCCGTGGCTCGCCGATAAGGATTAAAATTATCTAGGGCAAACGAGGGATTAGCAGAATCGACAGGTCATGGACATGGGCAAAGCTATGCGGTATTATTTAGTATTTTATCTAGAGATGAACTAGATCCCAGGGGAGATGAGGCTAAGCTGCAGCTTCCGGCGTTGTGACTCAGTTTAGTGCCGTTTGATGCAGGGGTAAAGGCGCCAGAGTTTTTAGTACAAGCTATGAAACGCATCCTTCCCTAACTGCTGTTTGCCAGAGATCTGACATCTTCAGAGTCCACAGGGGTGGGGAGAGGGGAGGAAGGAAGAGAGACTTCCAGGACCAAGGCTGGAGCTCTGCAGCAGTTTTAATATGTGCAGCGCCACTTTGAGCTTGTAAACAGAAGCCAGAGCCACTGCTTTGTAAAGGCAAAGAGTTTATGTTCCTTATTTCTATCCTTGTCAGCTGCTGCTTTCTGCTCAGAAGTCACTTAACGCTCCTCGAACTCTTCCAAAGCAAGGGCTGAGAAATCTGTCTGATAGATGTATGGACTATTGGAAACATTATTTATAGCTTCCTCACTGCCTAGTGTTTAAAATGAGCGCAAGAATGTTGGGTGGCGGGGCGGGGCTGGGGACTTAGCTCAGCGGCACAGCGCCTCTCTGGCAAGTGCAGGGTTGCCAGTTCAATTCCTGGTACCAGAAGTTAAAAAAAAAAAAGAATGTTGGGTGGGAACCCCCTTTCACCCTGTGTATTTCCGCTGTCCTCTGTCTAGAGAGGAAAACGGCTTCGGAAGCTTCTCATGACCTTCTCTCTCTTAAACCTAAGGAATGAATGAATATATATATATATATATATATACACATATATATACATATATATACATATATATTTGGATTTCAGGGTTTTCAATGTTTGAATTTGGGGTTCTAGAGTTCTTCCATGTAAAGTCATACATTCTGGAATTTTTGGCTGCTTTTGAGAAAAAGTCAGAACAAAAACAACAAAATGAAAGGAAGAAACCCTCCTAGTATGAGGAATAGGTAACAGGCTTGCTTTAACCTTTTTAGATGGTGCAGATTGTTTTGGATGTGAGGGGGAAACATCCTTAGTCAGAAGTTTTAGACACTGACATTAGGATGAATTCTTTTATAAGCATGTTCTTCATTGTGTCTTAAAAAAAATACAATAACTACCATGGAGCTAGTTTGGGAGAAGAGCAGAGACTGATTAAGATGGCTGATTATTCTATTATCAGAATTCCTTTCTTTCATGCCCTGTGACCTGTATATTGAATCATTCAAATGTTTTGAAAAAGATACTATAAAGCTTCTTTATTTAATAAGCTCTTTTTAAAAATTCAGTGGTATAAGTGATACTGTTACTGTGGGAAAATGTAATATACATTGACATTTGATTCAGATCACCAGTAAAGCTACTTTCATCTTTCATGTTGTGATCATTGTCTGGACATGAGAAATTTTAGGCAAAGCAGTACCCAGACCTAACAGAAAGAGATGAAAGCAGGCTGTACTTTCTGAAGGAGTTAGGTGGAGGTGCTATCAACAGAATGTGTGAACAATCGCTCAAACCTCAGTGGAACTGGCCTATGCTTAGAGCACCTTCTCAACTAAAACTCAATGGTACTGAGAGTTGTCAAATCACTGTGAGATGTGCAGAGCCCAGGAAATCTTTTGCAGGATTTCTCAGCTTCGACTCTTTTTGACAGTGTTGGCCAGATAATCATAGCTGGGACTGCCTTCTGCCTTGGGTAACATTTAATAGCATCCCCAGCTCTACCCAGTTGATGCTAGAATAACAGTAGAGGCCAGCCACGGTGACAGCCAACATTTCTCTAGACATTTTTCAGTGTCATGTGCATTGAGAGTAATGAATCACCACCGATTAAGAAACCTTCCATTTTGAGGTATATTTCTAAAAATATGTACTGTCTTCTCCTTTTCTAATAAAACAATGGAGCAGCTTTGTGGTTAAAACAAACAATATCTATTTGAAATGTGAAGTTACAAAATTCACTCCTCATCTGTTCAGTGTCTGATGTAGGATCCATTAGGTAAAATTATCATCGATGCAATGAATTTAACAACGGACCATTACAAAATATCTTTCTGTGACTTTCATTTTTACACTATAGAAGAATTGCTCAGCAGCATTACTGTTACCTTGTTTTCCACACTACTGGAAGGCATACTTTGGTATGCATAGTTTAGTTACTGTAGGTATTGTAAAGGAAAGAAGGAAGAGTGCTTGTAGGCTTTGAGAACTGTGGGGCAAAGCTCTTCAAGCCACTTCCATTCAGTGACCCTGAAAATTTCATCCAAGTACTTAGAAAAGAGAAAAAATTCTTACAAGAAATTGAGAGTAGAAATCACTTCTAAAGCAGTGAGAGTTTTATTCTATTTTCTTATAGTAAGTATAATTTTATTATAGCCTTTGTTATATTTTTCATGGGTTTGAAAATGGTAGTCTGTTTTAATTTTTTTCATTTCCCAAGGTGTTTGGAATATCAAGTGTATCTATGAAAAACTGAACATTGAACTTGATATTTTCTAATGGACTATTAAGAATGAGAAATCTCATTTTCCCAAGGAAATATTTCATTTATTTTGTTATTTAATTTTATTTCCTAAAACATTTTGATTCTTAGTCTGGATATTTTCATACTTTATTATGTGTTAATTGTATT